CAGATGTCCCACCTGACAGTTTCCCCGATTTCAGCCAGTTTAGCATAGCTGACGTTAGCTGCACAAGCTAGGCTAGCTTGTGTGTAAGAAACTGGCGGCAGGAGCTGAAGTGCATTTATTTATTAAATTGTAAGTTTTTAATTTTAAATCTTACAAAGGGAATTTTTATAATTCATGTTTTTATTTTGTGAAAAATCCCACTTAATTTTTTTTAAATTATATTTAATATTAATTATTACACCATTACATTTTTCCTCTCGCGCACCCCCTAGAGGCAGCTCGCGCACACCACACTTTGGGAATCCCTGCTGTAAGGCTTCATGAGGGACATGGTCCTAAAAATCCATTCCAAAGAATATGGATACCCTCATCAGGCTTGATTGGAAATCATAAACCTAATTTATGTCAATTGCAAAAATTCCATCCACTGATGAAAAGCTTAGATGTGGTTAAAAGCCCTGGAAAAGCTATTGAGAGGACCTTAATTAAAATGACAAATTATTTTGTCAAATGTTTCGTGTTCACTAAATGTTTTATCTAATTTAGTTAGATTCAGTTAAAAGCACTTTGAATTACATTTTCCTTTGAATAGTTTTTATACAGAACATTCCAAATATTAAAAACTGAAGCACAGACAAGCATTATGCGACATCACTGTTCTAATAAAACATTAAAGTGCTTACTTGCATGTTTCCTCAGTCATTTTGTCAGGATCTGTGCAGGAATAGAACTTGCCCTGGGAAGACAAAAAAGTGTCTTTATACAAATACAGTGCTAAACAACAATTTTCCATCATATTTCTTTGTCTTCTCACTTTGAAAAGTTGGACTCCAATGCAGGCAAACATGAAGTCCAGTAGCATGGTTACCAGTACAATATTTCCAATGGTCTTGACAGCAACAAACACACACTGGACGACATGCTACAAAGACAGAGATGATACATCAGGTCAGTATTAGGCCAGTATTAATTAAAAATTAGGCCATTCAAAACTGCAACTTTATCAATAGACAACTCATACCTTGAGTCCCTTTGCTCTGTTGATGGCCCTTAGGGGTCGGAGTACCCTTAACACCCGGAGAATCTTCACCACAGAGATGGCACTGGATCTAGAGGACACAAACAAAGGCACACTGTATTTACTGGATGTTTACTCTCTGGCAATATAGTGATGTTTATTCGACTGGCGTGTTCATGGCATATGGCAACAAGACAAAGATTGAGCTCTTTGCATGAGAGAGAGGAGGTCAGTCGGAAAATTTCTAGTCTCCACTTACTCCATGCCCATTGAGAGGAGAGATACACTGACCACCAGAAGATCCAAGATGTTGAAAGAGTTCCGACAGAAAGACCCTTCGTGAAGAATTGCACCATATGTTGTCATCTGAAAAAGAATACTTGTTATCCATTATGAACACCACAACCGTAAGAACAATTTACCTGCTGTAGGTGCTACATATAGCTTATGAATTCCAAATAAGGGAGAAAACCGAACAAAATGTTACCAGAGATGGAAAATACGAGGCGTCCGAAGAGACTGAGGTAAATCAATTAAAATGAATATGAAATTGCTATAAATCTTCCATGGTGCCTCTTAAACTGTTAACTGCTTGATGGTGCATTAATTTATTGAAATTGAATTGATAAATGTCAAACAATAACTTGAATTGGTAAACATGAAACAGATATTCACTGATTCTACCTGGTCATATGTGGCTTGATTCATCCATAAATGCTTCATCTATGTGAAAAAAAAGTCATGACAGACTGCTTGCAAGAGAACAGAAGTAGCGCCAGCTCTGCAGCTGTGACAATCAGTTACAATCTGCTAGTTCTCAGTTGGAATATATGTCTATCTGAAAAATATGGATGACATTGTCAAAATAATTAAGTACCAATCAAATCCATCTGAAGATGGGTGTCATGGTGGCTCCCACCCTGTCTCTCACTCATCTCCTTTAGCCTCACACCTTCTGTGTTCCTCTAGTACAGTGACTTTGGATGCAAATTTGGTAAGGCCTGTTATATTTTTCAGTAATTTGTAATACAAGGATTTCTATGGTTGGTGAATCAAGATTTCATTACATAATAATATACATGTGAGTGACAAATGAAATGAAACCACAACATGTAGTGTATAAAAAAAATGTTGCACCACAAATCTCAACAATCTATAAAAAAATCTGCGGTGAAGCTGTTCTTAAACCAGAGATTTGCTGTTAACTACGTATTTGTGTGCCTATCCTGCGTCCATATGGTTGTGTACGTAGTCAGCAATTAAGGTGACGCATAAATGACGCAAACACATGGTCAAAAAGCAAGCGTATCTACCCTTAGAGGCTGGAACTTTATTGGAGTGATGAACACCATTCTTCCAAAAGAGTACGTTTAGTTAATTTTGGTTGAGATCAAGTGACTGTAAAGTCCATAGCATATGATTAACATCATTTTTATAATCATTCAGTGAGCCTTCATGAGCTGTAATGAAGCATCATGATTCATTGTTTCTCCACACCTCTTTGGTTATTTTTGTTAATTTGTCACCCATCTGTATCAACAATATTAACTTCAGTACATGTAATTACCTTGAGCACAATTTCCGCTGTGAACACCGAAGTGAAGACTATATCAGCAGAGGCCAACACCTAAAAATGTCACATTTGTAATATCAATAACAATATCATATCTATACTTACTGCTGACAATGTGAATGACAATTCTAATTGTTCAATGGCAATGCAATTTAAACATTTAAATTACAGTGGGACAGATATGCACTTGTCACCTGGTTCCTGAAGGACATGGGGTCGATGGGATCCTCAGCAGCTAAAGAAATAGATGACAGTAGGATGAAGAGGAGGATGATGTTGGTGAAAGTAGTTGCATTGATAATACGATGGCAGAGCTTCCGGAACCTGAAATAGAAAGAACTTGTGAAATTCCTCCAGCAGGCAAGGATACATTTCAAAAACTTCATCAGGAACCATAAGTTAAATTAAAGCTGCAAGCAGCATTGATCGGTCCCTCGCATATTCACGCACTTCAAGGGTACTGGCAGAACTCTGGTGGATGCGGTCAGGCATTTCTGTGACCATCATACACTGCGTGTACGAGTTAAATGATATTTCCTGTGTTGACCAATGGCATAGCCAGGTCATTATACAAGGTCTTAAGCCTTGAATGTTTTGAGTGTACCTCCGAATACAATCATAAATGTCACCCTGTAAAAATCGACAAAAAACTGAATGTGTGAATGCGCTTCAGTGTTAGTAACATAACAGACAGTCGGTTTTGAGACCTGCATTTACTTTGACAGTTTGTTTATGCAGGTAGCTCTGACAATCACTGCTGAGAGACTCAAAACTGGAAGAGTCGAGGAGAAATATGAAGGCAAATCACTGTCAAAATCCGAGAGCGCAAATGAGATTGAAAACCACCTCTATCAGAACTAGCGTCTGTGTCAGAGTGATATCCGTTCTACCCCAGACGAGGATTGCAACCAATTAGATGTAGAGATACAATGGCGACTGAGTCCGCCCACTTACTGTCAAAAAGAAAAACTGCTCGCGAGCGAGCAGGTAAAAGACTCGCGAGCGAGCGGGTTTAAGCTTCGCGAGCGGGTTTAAGCTTCGCGAGCGGGTTTTGCTCGCGCGGCTGTTTGATTTTCGAGCGCACATGGATCTCATTTGCGCTCTCGGATTTTGACAGTGATTTGCCTTCATAGAGAAATAGGAGAATGTATAGTTCCATGTGGAAAAAAAACATATTTTCGTAAAGACAAGTTTAAGCCAAAAGGTGAGCCAATGTAGAATAATCTAACATACAAATTAGGCTGGGTGCAGTTTGATTTTATAAAACTAACTTCACATTTCATGAAATTACTTTACATTACGGCCTGGCTCCAAAACGAACAAAAACAATTAAATTTACGATTAAGGAAAACTCCACGTACAAGCGGGATTTGGAAACCTTTTTTATCCAATTTCTGCTCTCCAAACATCTTATTTGCACATATTTAGATCAGAGAAGTCTTTCTCATGGTGTGCCCATGAACCCTTTCAATAAATTCAGTGTTTGGGCGGCTGTAATCGTAGAATCCTGCTTACGTCCGTGGTTGCCAGTAGGTGGTGCTATGACTATGAGTTAATATTGGCATGCAGAAGTCCTAAAGCCATGACATGCATAAAGCACGTCAAGTTTGGGAGAGTTTTGACAAAGTACAGTCAAGTTACAACAGCTTGATGGATGATGGCGAACCATGTAAAATGGCCATCACACCATATTCACATCGTTCGATGAAACCTAAAGCTTTCAGTAACTTTTAATCGCTAAGGTCTTTAGATTGTTCTGACCAAATTCTAAGTTGATCTGATTAATTCCCTAGGAGGAGTTGGTTAAAGTAAATTACCTGGAAATGGAAAAAAAAACGAGAAATTCATACAAAAGTCCAAATGGCTGACTTGCGAGCATGGTCCCAAGAGACTTTATTATAAGTTTCGATGTGATACTGTCACGGGAGTTCACGGTTAGGACCCAATAGCAAGACCACAGGAGACAGAGTACGGTAAAACAGATTTTATTTAGCCAGAGTAAGAAGACAGGAAGGTGTGGAGCCCGTGGTCCGACACCAGAGAGTAGGCAGATCAACGGTGTGAGTCCCGTGGCTCGACACCGGAGGGCAGGCAGCTCTTGGTGTGACGTCCCGTGGCTCGACACCGGGGGGTAGGCAGAGTGGCGGTGTGAGTCGTGGCTCGACACCGGAGGGCAGGCAGAGCGGCTGTGTGTAGTCGGTTAACACAACGGAGGGCAGAGAGGCGGTGTGTAGTCCGTAACACAAAGGAGGGCATGGGGGATTCCCGGACCGACGGACACCAGAGGCAGGCGCTCGAGGCAGAAGGTGATACGGGGTTGAAGTGGGTGAAAGACGGTAAGACCTGACAACCCCAGACTGCAGGACCAGAGTTTATATAGTGCCAGGGGAATCGTTAGTGGGACCTGAGTCTGGTGTGTCAGCCTGCAGGAGGTGATTCGCTGAAGTAGCTGCAGCTGTGTGGCCATGGGAGTTGTCTGGTCTGACAGGGATCCTGACAGATACATCTGCTTGCCAGATGTTATACATCTAAGTAAAGCATACTGCGGAGGCTGCATCGTCAAAAATTTTGTAGGGTGCGCTATCGAGCCAACTTGCCACTCTGAAGCATTAAAATCACATCAGATAACTACATTCAGGATTTTAAATGTGTGTGACAAGTTTGGTTATGTTTTGACCATTTTCAACTCAAAAACACCTTAGTTTTTCATGGTGAAGAATGCGTCACTACTACAACAGCCCTTCACTAAACAACAAGCTTTGAGTAACTTTCCATCACAAAGGTCTTTAGATTGTACTGACCAAATTTGAAGTTGGTCTGATTAATTCCCTAGGAGGAGTTCGTTTAAGTACAGTTCCTGGACTTCCGGTGATGCCATGACACGAGTCGCAGCATAGAAACAGAGCTCCGTTGGACAAAACAAGAAATGTGACAACTAAAACTAAATTAGACATTAAATGATAAAGAAAAGAACATCTCTACAAAATGAGTTGGAATACTAGAGAAAAGAGTTCCAACAGGCAAGACACCTTGAAGGAAAAGGAGGATAAACAGAAACCACCAAATCAGGCTAACGCTAGCTTAAGCCTCGCTAGCAAAAGAGCTGAGTCAGAAATAGACGTACTGAAAGAGTTGAGGAAACTTCGCAAAGAAAACCAAGATGCACATAATCACACTAAGATGTCTCTCGAACGACTAGAACAAGCCGTCACTGATATAAAAGACCAGGTGAAGGAGCATGAAGAGAGAATCGGACAGATAGAAGAAAGACTTGGTGCGGCCGAAGATACAGAAATGCAATACCGCAGAGCGCTACATTACCTGCTCCACCGCGACATGGATATCACGGCGAAATGTGATGACCTCCAGAACAGACTGAGATGGAAAAAACTTAAGAATTGTTTAAATCCCAGAAGGGAGTGAAGGAAAAGACACAGAGGGATTCGTGAAAGAGCTGCCGCATAAGGTACTCAAACCACCACCAGAAATGGAGATTAAGATTGAAAGGGCTCATCGTTCACTCGTCTCCAAGCCTAATGATGTAACAGCCCCCCCGAGATCGATAATAGTAAGATTTGTCAAAGCAGTGGTGAAAGAAACGATCATACGGCAAGCAAGGAGCCAGGGATAGGTCTTTTTCCAAGACACACGGATCTTCTTCGACCAGGACTATTCACCAGATCAACAAAAGAAACGGGTGAAAGTTCACAAAGTTGTCAAGCAGCTTAAAAAGGACATACAAGCAAAATGCCTGTACCCGGCACAACTGAAACTTAAACTGAGCAACGGAGAGAAGACCTTCACAACACTAGCGAATGCAGCGACGCTACTAATAGAGCTCGGAGTCCAAGTGAGCTGCGGAGAAAGGGAGCGCATTGAGGAGCAGATCCACAACGGATGGAGGAGCAACATAAAGAGAAAGAGAGACACAGTACTGCCAACATCAGACCTCTAAGCTCTTCTGCAAGGAGAAAACTAACCAACTCCAAATATAAAAGGTAGCTTAACAATCTGCCAAAGTAGTTGAAAAAACGTTTAAAGCTATGTGATTACACACACCTTGATGTCACAAGTTTATACAAGTTCTATGATATAAAGTCCAGACGGATGTTTTGTTTAGACTTTCTATGAGTGGTTTGCACTCACTCAGACCTTTCTTACAAACTATTGTAATATCGGTCATATTAGCACTATGTGCATTTTTTCCCACAGAGAGGGTAGGTCACACCTCTCTGCTCCAATACCAACGGGGATTGGACACTGTTAGAGTTGAAACACTGTGTCCGATTGGAAATGTGGAAGTTCGGTTCTATATTATTCATGTTATTCTCATATTTTCCTTGACAGATGTTATAGACCCAAGAATGTTGAGGTTTACACAACTCAAGTTTTTTTAAATTTTCATTATCTTTACTTTTTTTGACATGCATGCTCAGGCAGAGAAGATAACATGTTATAGCAATACGTAGAGACTATGGCTTATCGGCATTTCATCAGTTACAATATAAAAGGAATTAATAACCCAATTAAAAGAAAACAAATCCTAGGGCAATTTAAAAAAATGCGGTGTTCTGTAGCCCTAATTCAGGAAACACTTACAGTGCCTTGCATAAGTATTCACCTCCCTTGGATATTTTCCCCTTTGGTTGCTTTTATACATGAAATCATGGTCAGTATAATTTGGCTTTTTTGTCAAGAATTTGCAAAAAAAGCTTCTTTCATGTCAATGTGAAAACAGATTTTTACAAACAAATGTCAATTAATTAAAAATATATAGTGTAAAATAAGTGTTTGCATAAATATTCACCCCTTTAAAGTGACTGACCTAATTCAACAGAAGTCCAGCTAGTTGATGCCAGCAGTGTCATAGGTAGTGAAATGGAGATGACCTGAGTGTAGTTGATGTGTGTCAAGTGATTGTAGTATAAACACACATGTGTCTGGGAGCTCCAGTCTCTGGTTCATCAGTATTCCTGCTACAATTGCAACATGAAGACAAAATAACACTCCAAGTACAAGTCAGGAGATGGCTACAAAAAGATTTCCAACTCACTGGACATCCCACAGAGTTCAGTTCAGTCCATCATTAAGAAATGGAAGGAGTGTGGCACTTGTTTAAATCTCCTAGAGCTACTAGCTAAACTATTGATACAAATATTAGTTTTATTTTTTATTTTTACTTATTTTATTTTAAGTTATGTGTCATGTTTTCGGAGGTCGTATGTCAAGGACTGTTCTGTTGAAAATGCAAAAATGCAAAGTTAAAAAACGACACTAGAAATTCATACTAAATTCAAAATGGCTGACTTTCGGTTGGGTTTAGAGCAGTGGTTCTCAACTGGACTGGCTGCGGGACCCACCATCACCCCTTAATGACAAGCCAGGACCCAAATCGAGGAACATTTTCAACTTCTCAAATTTATTCAATGAAAAGAACCTGAGTTGACAATTTCCTCTATAGTCATAGTAGTAGGGAGCTCTCTTGTGCAGAGAAATTGTTCCTGTAAGTCCCCGTCCCACACAACGAGTAAAACTGCTTTGTTTGTGATGTCTGTAGATTCGTCCATTTGTAATGCAAAATGACCACTTGCCTAAATTCGAGCTGTCGTCTGTTGTTTGATGTCATCCGACATGTCTTCAATTCAATACTTAGTGTCATTTGACAGAGGTATAGTTTTCAGTTTATCCTCTGCTGATATTAGCATTACAAGGCATTAACGCCAAATATTGCCAAGGAGTGTGAATAGACGGCACTCCGCTTCATAGAAAATCCTCTTCAAAATAAAAGCACAGGATTTTTATTTTTGTGTTCTCTAGCACCACATAGTGGATACAGGAACTAGTAGAATATTTGATCATGATATCCGATACTTACGATACAATACCAGAATTCGATACAATACCACAATTACGATATGATACCACAAATATGATACGATACTGGTATATTTATCTATAATAGTAATAAATAAAACATCTGTATCGTTCCCTTTTTTACCAGCTTGTTCCTGCCCAGCTTTTTGAACACTTAACAAATGGCATTAATATTAATATTAGCCTACAGCAAGATATTAATGAAAACTGCATGGTGCCATCATAGCATTGATTATACACGGCTATGTAGGCCTATTGTCCGTATCTGACCAGATGACTACATAGTTCCTTCCATAAGTATGAGCAACTGTAGAGTTACATCATTTTACAGATGTGTGTTTGAGGTGAAAAAATGGGTTGGGTACATTAAAGATGGACACATAATTAAAGGGGAATTTCTCCCTTTTATTGAAAAACAACAATGAAAAACATGCCACTACACACCAATACACACATGCCATTACACTATGGCGAACAATGAGACAGCCAGTCTATGCTGTCTGGCAGAATTGTGAATTGTGAATATTCACACTTGTTGCACCTTGCAACTATTGCACTTGTTTATGCACTTATTACAACTATTTACACACTTGTCAAACTATTTACACACTAACAGCAACACTAACACAGTAAATTAACTGAAATGTATTTTCTGACGATAATGTGCATTGTCTCATTTTCTTGACAGTTATTTTGCCAGTTGAAGGTTCTTTGCCAAAAAAACAAGCATGTCAACATGCTCTTCACTCAGCCTGTTGCTGTTGACAGAATCGGTCCACCATCTCAAAGGTGGAATTCTACCGGGTGGGCTCATCATGAATGCGCTTTTGCACAGGAACATTTAAGATCTTCTGTTTGTCTTTCAGGCTCCTTTGCATTTAATTTGACCTGGAAAATGCAGACAAGGTTGTCCGAAGCCTGGACAACCTTGTTTTAATGTTGTCCAGGCCTAAAGCCTTGCCCACTGCCAAATGTAGATTATGCCCAAAACAGGGTATCCAAGTGTAATTTTCAAATGCCTTTTTGTTGTTGGAGGCATTGTCAGTAGTTATACCAGCCATTTTTGACATGTCCAATCCCCATTTTTCACACACCATCTCCTCCAGCGCTTCATGGATAGAATCTGCAGTATGGTCTGAATACAAAGTGAGTACATTCTAAACACCAGGACTGCATTTCCCAGGTTTCTGTTACGTACTGGATTGTGAGTGCCATCGACTGCCCTGCTTGTCCAGAGGTCAGTGGTGAGAGCAAAACAAGGCTGGCATTGAAGTTGAGCCTGAATAACCTGATTGGTCTCATTGTAGATCTGTGGAATTTCATTGTTCATGAAATAATTTCTCCCTGGCATATCATATTTTCTGTCCAACGCATGCACAAGATTCCTAAATCCAGTTTTTTCGACTGTGTATAGTAGCACCTGATCAGTACAGATGAACTCAGCCACTGCTCTGTTTAACCTCTTCGCATCTTTTGAGCCTCTCATATTTCCGCTGGCTTTCAAACACAGCTGAAGGGAACTCTGTCTCTGTGTTGCTGCTGACTCTGCTGGCATCTGTTTGACTGTCTGTGGGAGTGGGTGGATAAACAATGCTTCATTTACTTGCATAGTGAGTTTGACATTTTCACTTCATATTTTATCTTAATTCATGGAATAATTATTTTTCCTTAACTAAAAATGAAAAGAATTAGCTCAAGATCCACCCTCAGGCTCCACCAGCATGGAGCCATTTTGCATGAATTGTGTTTCATTTAGCACACTTCTGTGTGCATTGTGACCTCATGATCATATAGGCTTGTCGTCAAACTAGGCTAAGGCTACTCGTGTTAGGCTGTATATGGGTGAGCTTGGGGGTGTTCATGTTTATAATCACGTTTGCTTTGAAAAGTTCGGGGTGTCTGTCTGAAAGGTGCTTTGCCATGTTAGACGTGTTGCCTCCCTTGGTCTGTGTGGCTTTGAAACAAGTTTTGCAGACGGGTCTCTGTATGTCAGTGGGCTTTCCTTCACTGTCTGCAATGTAGCCAAAATACTTCCAGATTGCACTTCTGGCATCTTTTTTTCCAACATGCCGAGGACGGTCGGAAAAGCTCCTGCACTTGAGGCCATGTCTCCCCAGCGATCACTCGCTGTGAGTGAGCGCTGGGCAGCCCCGCCCCCTTGCAGTCAATGCCTGCAGGCAGCATGACAGGGAGCGGAACAGTGAGTGCGCTCTGATCGTGCACTATTTTAATGAAGTATCGATACTAAAAATATGCAAAATCGTATCTTTTTTAACGTACGGGTACCGCGGTACCTTTTTAGTATCGATACACCGTGCAACATTAATTTACACTACATAATTTCCAGTGTCACACAGTCCACGCAGGACAAATACGTTGAACTCTGGGACGCGTTGTTTGATGGTCAGACATTCGCGCCCGCGTCTGCTGGCGTCCCACCAGTTCCCCCGAGACGCGGGAAGGTGCGAGGGCCCATTCATCGCTGCTTGCAGCTTTAATTTTATTTATTATCCACCTCAACAACCACCAGAATCTTACTTGTTCTGAGGTCCGAAGATAAAAAACGAGCTGGCTTCTGGCATTGGCACCGCTTCCTCCTTCAACTGCAGATCTGCCATTGGACGAGGTCTAGGGCTTTCTGGGATCTCAGGGTCCTCTTCCTCATCATCACCTACCCAACAGAAAGAGTGAGGTATTAGCAGAAACCTCTTACTGAATCGTATGATTAATTACAGTATGGAGGCATTTGGATTTACCAGGAAAGTCTGCTGGAGGGAAAGGGTCCTTGATCTCATTAACATTGGACTCAAACTCGTCGATTTTGAGCTGCAGGTTTGAAAATAAAATAATTGAAAGTTAAGAAAGGATATGATATTGTTTATTTACATTGTCGATGTATGCTCTTGGATGCCTCACCTTGGCAGTTGTAGGGATGCCCTCTACACCCTTGGCCCTTTGCTCAGCTAGCTTCTTTGCCAGATTTGCTTTCTCCTCTGACGCCTTGTCAGGCATGTTGGCCCTTTAAATGAACAGTGTTTGATTCAACTGGTTGTTGGCTTGTGGGATGAAAGAAAATTTAATAATTGTACAACTTGAATCATTATGTTCATAATTATATGTTACATATTGTAATTGTAAACCATATTGTATATCGTCCTTGTAGGAAGTATGGATAAGAGTGTGCTTAATAGAAATGATTTACTACAGGGTTGAAATTCTTTTAATTTCCCATATAAATCACATCGTCCCATGCCAGACTGAATGAACCTGCAGGTTGAACATGCAAGTAGCCCTGCAATGCAAGTTAAGTAAATTAAATCTGACAACTTTTCTGTGTGAGCAAACACACAGATCTAGAGCTAGGCTGATTGGTCTGAGGCGCGTGGGTGCTTTGACCCAAGGCCTCCGACTGTTTCCTTATACACGGACAGAGTAGAGGGGCCAATGTCAACCTAATGTCCCCTTGGGACTCAACTGGCTCCTAACAATACATTATTGCATCCAAAATATATATATATATAAAATATATAATATGTGATTCATTTTCACTCAAATTCAGTGAATTTAGTCATCCAGTGTTTTCCGAGTTGGGACCGAAGAAAGAACTAAAAATCATGAGTTTGTCAAAGGGGCTGTCTTATGGCAGCTGAATTAGATCTGGGCTTGTTTGTGTAAATCTTCTAAGATTTGCTCTTATGAAGGATCCTTAACAGTGACTAATGAGTCAAATGTTTTTAGTATAAGGTAGGACATAAAGACTTTTGACAAAGTCGAAGTATGATTCTTCAGTGCTGACTGTAGAGACTCATGGTTGGAATGGTAAAGACTTCAATTATATCTGCCCACAGTGCTTTAACTCTCCCAATTAAAGCTTGCATATAATGCAAAATACACATTCTCATGGCTATTCAACATAAATATGAATCCCTGCTGTGTCCCCCAAAGTGTGAGAAAAGACCACGCTCTCTTTTTCTCATGCTCCATCTATCCTAAAAATCTGTCAAATTTGCAGATCCTTGTGAAGTTCTATCGGGCCTTGTTTAACATAGCACCTCCTCCAGCAAGATGGCCATCTCTGCCCAGAATAGCGAGTCAATCTATTTCGCTGTCTGCCATTGTTATTTCCTCTCTATCAACCAACAGGTGTTGGCTGCAAGAACCAACACAAAAGTCTTCATGTACTCACACCATCAGACAATGTGAGGAAGATAAACCTGATTTTCACATTACATTCATTAAGCTAATGATTTATCGAATAAATGCATTCAGCCATGTGGATACAACCCCAAAATTGGAAGAATCATGCAAGTATGTTATTTCGGCAAATATGCTGAATTGGTTCTCATGCTACATTTAGAAACAATAAGAGATCGAGAAAGACATATTTTTTATGGGCCACGGTGCAGTCTGAAAAGATGAGTTGTCTGTCTGCGATAGAAAATGTGAGTTTCTGCTGTCTTTATTTCAGTGGGGAGCTTGTTCCATCAATGTGGAACCAGGACAGCAAACGGTCAATATCTTTTGGCCCCCTAGTTGTGAGGGAACCCCCCCCCCCCATGGATTTTTATCTGCAATAATCCAAAATCGAATGGAAAAGTCCGATAGAGACAGTGTGATAACTTCTGGGGTCGGCCTATGGAAAAACATCAGCACTCTAGTCCCTTTGTAACATAATGTGGAAATGTCCTGCTATTCATAGTTGTGAGTGAGATTGCAAGTCAGATTAAAACATGAAAAGCAGGATTTTGATGAGCTAAAATGTTTTATTTTGAACATTTGGGAAGACTTACCTGAGAGCTTTCTTGCGTATTTTCTCCTCTGCTTTCTCTTTTTGTGCCAAAGTCAGAGACTCAGCCTCTGCCAAGTTATCAACAGCAATGGCCAGGAAGACATTTAGAAGGATGACTGAATGAGGGGGGAGTTAAAGATTATTACAGTAATTGAACTGAAATTGTGGTTGTCATGGTTGGAGTTCAGTGTTGGTTCAAGGCACACACACAGAACAGACACAAACACTCGATAAGGATACAATTTCCACAGGCAAAGAGGATGATGAAGTAGATGCTGACTAGGATACCAGGCATGCTGGGTCCTCCATGAGCCATGATACCATCGTACATGACAGCATTCCAGTCCTCACCAGTCAGGATCTGAAACATATATCATTTAACAATAATAAAGAGTTGTAGTACTAAATAATTGTGACATATTTCAAAATATAATAACTTAGTTTTTGAAAAATATATATTTTTTTCAACATTTTATGTTTAGTGGTTTTGATTGTACCTGAAAGACAGTGATGAGGGCCTGAGGAAAGCTGTCAAAGGTGCTGCGGGGTTTGGGTTGGTTGGGGAAGTTGAACTTCCCTCCAAACACCTGCATACCCAGCAGGGAGAATATGACAATGAAGAGGAAGAGGAGCAGCAGCAAGCAGGCGATGGAACGCACCGAGTTCAAGAGAGAAGCCACCAGATTACTGAGCGATGTCCAGTATCTAGGGCACACAACATCAATTGAATAATGGCATCGGTAATTCTGCGAGGATACAGCTTATAGTGACAGATCTTATATCATGCACGACCCTCTGTTCTTTTTCATGTCAAATGGATCTTCTTTGAAGGACAATACATCAATTATCAGGTGAAATAAAAGAGAATGAGCCCTCTCTTGTTTTTCTGATCAGTTATAATCTAGCGTCAACAGTAAATAAAAGCAATATAAATGCTCTGGCTATGTTAAAGGTTTAATGTAATGCACTCTGCTTAAAGAGAACTTATCAACAATCAAACAGTAAGACTTCAAATAATAAGATAATGATCGATCATTCAAGGGCGAAAGACAACATTGTAAGGAGCAATGAGATACTAGCAGGGTTGGTAAACATGTTTTGCCATCAGATATTCCTGATGAAGACTTCATACACAACTACATACACATTACACATACCAGCTGACCGCTTTCTCACCTGGTGACTTTGAGCAGGCGGAGCAGGCGTATGCAGCGCATCACAGAAATGCCCATGACTGACATGACGCCCATGTGGACAAGGATGAGCTCCATAATGCCGGTGGACACCACAAAGCAGTCAAAGCGATTGAAGAGGGACATGAAGTAAGAGGGCAGGCCGAGAGCATACATCTTCATGAACATCTCAAGTGCAAACATAGACAGCAGCAGCTTATTGGCATTGTCTGTTGATGGTTGGAGCCAACGGTATGAAGAGAAAGACAATAGACAAAATGAGAGATGAGAGAAAAAGACTGTATCAGTAATCAACAGTCTGCAAAGAGTTTGGAGTGCCACATAAATCATTTTAGATATTTTTAGTAGTTAATCAGAATCATTTGTTACCTTTGAAAACAATTCAGAAAGTGATTTATTTTCTATATATTGCATTAATTATATATTATAGAAAATAACAATGTACTGTTTAAATACAATCAATAATTCAAAACTGATGCAACAAAGCAACGCGATGCGAAAAACAGTTTTTGTGGTATTTTATCAAATTTAACATACAGCACCTTACTGAATCAATTTAGGTTCCTCTTTCATTATTTTTAATTTTGCACAGTTATGAATGAAAAAAACTCAATCAGCTGCAGCTTTCAACATTTACGAGAAACTAAAGTTAAAAACTGTAGTAAATGAAAACTTGTTTACAGTGAATTGGTGTTCACAACCTGTTGCAACAACCTGAAAATAAGATTAGTAGCAGAAAATATGGAATGTTGATTAAAATGACACATCACACTGCTATAACTAGAGATCGGTTTGTGTGTCACATAACTCCTTCTGTCCTATTCCCCAATCCCCTCCAAACTTTCCAGTGTACTACACAAAGCAGCAGTATATAACAGTAGAAAAAAACAGGTAATGCTTACAGCTTTCCTATTACCTCCTCCATCTATGGATTCAACTACAGTCATTTATATGGTTATGTGGGTCTAAATTCAAACTAAGTGCATGAGAACCGCATTGGAAATAATTTACTTTTCAGTTCAATAATAATAATAAAACATTTTATTTATTGAGCGTTTTTCATAATTCTCAAAGACACATTACATTGAAATCATATAAAAGAAAGCTATACACTAACATTTTAAAACACATAATATCGGTCACACATTAAAAGCAGTTTTGAACAGGTGGGTTTTGATTTGAGATTTGAATGTGGAGAGGTCAGTGCAGTCTCGGATGTGTTTGGGGAGAGAGTTCCAGAGGGAGGGGGCAGCTATGGAGAAGGCTCTGCCCATGTCCGGTGCTTGGTCCTGAGTGGAAGGGACAGGAGGTTGGCATCAGAGGAGCGGAGCCGACGGGATGGAGTGTGGTGGTGAAGCAGGTCGGTGAGGTAGGAGGGGGCCTGATTGTGGAGGGCTTCATCAGTGAGGAGAAGAACTTTGTATTGGATTCGTTGTTGGATGGGGAGCCAGTGGAGGTTTTGAAGAACAGGGGTGATGTGATCCCGGGAGTGGGTGCTGGTGAGCAGACGAGCAACAGCGTTCTGGATATACTGGAGATTATTTAGGATTTTGGATGATGTGCCATAAAGAATGCTGTTGCAGTAGTCGATTCTGGAGGTGATGAAGGATCAGAGTTTCAGCAGCAGATGAGGAGAGTGATGGGTGGAGACGGGCTATGTTTTTTAAGTGGAAAAAGGCAGTTCTGGTGATTTGTTTGACGTGGTGTTCAAAGGAGAGGTTGCTGTTGAACATGACACCAAGGTTGCGGATGTGTGCGGAGGGATACAGAGTGGAGTTGTCGATGGTGAGGCAGAAGTTGTGACCGGTTTTGGTGAGGGATGTGGGACCGATGATGATCATGTCAGATTTATCACAGTTCAGTTTGAGGAAGTTGGTTTGCATCCATGATTTAATGTCAGTGAGGCAGTTGGTGAGAGTGGAGTGAGTAGCAGTGGTAATGGCCTTTGTGGAGATGTAGAGCTGGACATCATCGGCGTAGCAGTGAAAGTGAAGTCCATGTTGACGTATGATGTTACCAAGAGGGAGCAAGTAGAGGATGAACAGAAGAGGACCAAGCACCGAACCCTGGGGGATGCCTTGAGACAGAGGAGCAGTGGAGGAGGTGCAGTTGTTGATACTGATGAACTGTTGTCTGTTTGTGAGATATGATTTAATCCAGGAGAGAGCAGTTCCGGTGATGTTGAGGGAGGTTTCGAGGCGGGAGAGAAGGATGTTGTGGTTGATGGTGTCGAAAGCAGCAGTGAGGTTGAGGAGGATGAGAATATTAAGGTGACCAGCATCTGAAGAGAGGAGGAGGTCGTTGGTGACTTTGAGGAGGGCTGTTTCAGTGCTGTGCTGTGAGCGGAATCCGGATTGAAATGGCTCGAACAGATCGTTGGAGATTAGGTGGGCTTTGAGTTGTGTGTTTCAGTATTTTTGACAGAAAGGGAAGATTGGAAATGGGCCGGAAATTGCTCATGGTGTCAGGGTCAAGTCCAGGTTTTTTGAGGATTGGGGTGACAGCAGCCAGTTTAAGTGTGTCGGGGACTGAACCGGAGCTGAGGGAGGAGTTAATGATGACTGTGATGAGTGGTGAGATGGCTGGGAGACAGTCCTTGACAAGGTTAGATGGGATGGGATCCAGGATACAGGTGGAGCTTCTCATTCCTGTTGTGAAGTTTGGCAGTTCCAAAGGGGACACAAGGGAGAACTGAGAAAAGGGGCTGAGGGGTGGAGGAATTTAGCACATTCTGATGGAGGTCAGTTTTGTCAAATATCAGTAGTTTTTAAATATGAACTCACTTACTGTGGAATATTTTCAAGGGATTTATCCACAACTTTATTATCAAAACTCTGTAAGGGTCAGATACATTATCAGATCATGCTGTTGCATGACTGTGGTGTTTTTGAAATTTTTACATTTAATGCATATTTGTATTCCATTTACTTAGAATTTCAAGCAATATTTAATGTAATATGTGAACAATTTCTTATTGTAGCAGAATGAAGTGTGTGAACAGTGACACCTACTATTCAACATGAACAGCAGCTTTAAAAGACCTAAAACTCTAAAAATTCACTGATGAAATGTTACTCAAAGATTTAAGTTTACATCTGTAAAATAAAATGTAGTATTTCATAATTACTACAGTATATTAGATCCTATCTTCCCCCAATAGATGACACTTTTAAGCAACATGATTTTTAATGTTTGTTCAACCAAATTTCATACAGCTAGGTGAAACCAAAAGTTGGGGCTACTCAATAGGGGGCACTATAGAGCCAATTTTTCATACCGCAGCTGGACACCACAATCAGACAGCAATTTTTGCCACGACAGGCTTGCGTGCCAAATTTCTAAACCATGCCAGTATCCCAAGAACCTCATTTCCGCTTGAAAGACAGAATAAGAATAATAATTAAAGCTGCGAGCAGCGATGAATGGGCCCTCACATCTTTGCGTATGTTGGGGGTACTTGTGAGGCCTCAGCTTACGCGGCCGAGAATGTCTGCGACCATCGGACAACGCGACCACGAGTTAGACTTTTTTTCCTGCTTGGAGTATTTGACCCTGGAAATTATCCTTTACAAATAGTCCACCACTTCCTGTAACCACTGTGTGGCGCTAAACAACGTGCGCCAACATGCATTATGTTGCTCTATATCAAGTGTAGACAACATCATGTAAATGTCATGTGAATCAGATATTGTTTGTCAAATAACGCTGATTTCCTTTCGCCATTAGGTGGTGCTTTGACTTAGATGGAGAATTGGCTTGTAGACATCCTCAGGCCATGACTGTTATCAAGCATGGCAACTGTTGGGATCTGACCCTGCTCTCCTGTCTGGCTGAGACCTTCACACGTGCTTTTCAAACAAAGGAGCAGCCATGTTCCTTCCTTCCACCAAAATGCCTGACCTGGGGCCTGCAAGAAACCTCATGCCGGATGACCACACCCCCAGCTCCAGCCAAAACCTGATGCTGGTCCCTCATTGGCCAAGAAAGGGCCCCCCACTGGTTGTGCCACCTGGTTTATAAGCCCGAGCACAGCTAGAATCACCCTCTTCACTCCGGACTCGTCCAGGGGACAAGAAGATTCCCAAGGCTCTTCCGTCCAGACATGCTGGTGTGGTGAGGTCCACAAGGCCTCTTCCCTCCGGACCTGGCAACAAGAACATTCACGAGGAACCGCGGCCTCATCAAATCCTATCAGGTCACATGTAACATTCGCTGGTCGAACAGACTGTGTTTTATTTTGAGTTTCGGATCCTGTAGTGCGAGAACGGATAACTTCTATGCCCCGTTCCCCCACCCTTATTGTGTACACACCGCTGGCAGAAGGACGATTAACAATCTTTCCTCGCTGAAGATTTCCGGGAAGGACGACCCAAACCTCGTCCCTCAGCCGAAGTTAAAAAGCCCTCTCTGCAGAGAGGAGATAGAGTCTGCGCCAGCTCCGAGAGCCATGCCACCGAGAGCCCTCATCTCTCGAGGGCTGACTGATTCCCACCACGGGAAACATACCCTACCGAACGAAGCTTCTACAAGTAAGAGTTACTGGTATCTGGGCCTAGCTTAGCTTAGCATTAGCTTAATTTAGCCTATTCGTTTATGTCGTTGTTATTCCTGTATCTTCTTGTGTTAAGTTGCTGTCGTGTTCTAACGTGTTATTGCGCAACATCGCGGACCACGGAGTCCCGTTATATTGTGTATTTCCTGCTTTAACTGTTTGCATTAGATCCGTCTCTGCTAGCGGATGTGGAGCTTGTGATCTTACCACTTTAAAGACTAAAACCACAGTGGCCAGCCTCGTCTCGCCGACCGAGTTTCGGGGTGATAAGAAAGCAACACTCGCACCTCACCGCAGTGATAAAGATCTGTTTTGTTTTGGGGATTCTTTTCTTTTGGTTTTATTCTCTCTTCTTTAAATTGGCTCTGTGAGTGAAATTTAGAACCGCAACTATCACCGTACAAGCGTGACCGGTCGGTTCAGAATGATCAGCTGTTTCTCACATTCTCACTGCAGCGCCAAGCACCGCGCTCAGAGCCTCTCTCTCTCTCTCTCTCTCTCTCTCTCTCTCTCTCTCTCTCTCTCCCTACTAACCCGCGTACACATAGTTAGATTCACTGATTTTTGGTGAATATCTCAGACACGTAAGGTTACGTAATCTATTGTCTCAAACCACAGTGTGCGTCGCCCCACGTGGTTACAAGCATAGCCCCTCGTAGCCATTTTGGTCGGAGGTCTCTAGACTCCGCCATCTTTGCTTGTAGGCTTACACGCCCTTTTTTAGATTACTCCCCTTTTACTGTTCGAGTAGTTCTCCCCCACCCCCTTTTTTCCACACACACACACACGTACATATAGATATAGACATATCCTTACCCCACTTTATTCATTTGACTTTAGGTATTAGACATAATTGTATGATAGTGTTTGTTGATTTTGATATTACTTGATTTGATCATTTATTATTTAGATTTAATAAACTCTGTTATATTTTTAAAGAGCAGTCGTCTGTAATTACTTGTGCATATGTGTGTAATAATAACTGGATGTAGTGGCCTGTGCTCGAACTTAAACCTTCACTCTCACTCCAAACGTGTAATAGAATTCAGACTGTTAATATCGTGAGTGAACACTAATTATGAGACTTAGTTTATAGTTTGGTTATTGGTCCCTGTCCGCAGGGTGGTACCCCGTTCTTATTAGTAATTACTAATTAGCTTATTGATGTTAATAACTCCATTGATGTTGATAGTTTAGTTTCATATTTGCTGATAACCAAACACGCTCCTTTACGTTCCCAACACAACTTTGGGACAGATTTGAACAAGTCCAGTGGAGATACATCAGCTTGCCGTTTCATGGGGAGTCACGTAAAATGGCCGCCACACCATGGCTACACCATTCAATCAAACGTAAAGCTTTTGATAACTTTTAATCACAAAGGTCTTTAAATTGTACTGACCAAATTTGAAGTGGATCCTCAAAATTCCCTAGGAGGAGTTCGTTAAAGTATTGTGCCTAGAAATGGTCAAAAATGAATGGAAAATTCACACTAAAATCTAAATTGCAGACTTCAAGTATAATTTAGTACAGGGATTCCCAAAGTGTGCTGCCTCTAGGGGGAGGAAAAATGTAATGGTGGTCTAATGGTGTAATAATTAATATTAAATATAATTTAAAAAAATGTAAGTGGGATTTTTCACAAAATAAAAACATGAATTATAAAAATTCCCTTTGTAAGATTTAAATTTAAAATTAAAAACTTTTATTATTTATTAAAACAATTTAATAAATAAATGCACTTCTGCTCCTGCCGCCAGTCTTTTACATACACACTAGCTAGCCTAGCTTGCGCAGCTAACGTCAGCTAACAGCTAACTTCATTCATTCAGCAACATTCATGCAAATATGCTAAACTGGCTGAAATCGGGGAAACTGTCAGGTGGGACATCTGAAGCTATCAGTCATAAAAGAGGAGAGGGACAGAGAGAGAGAGAGAGGAATCGGAGGCGAGAGAAACGGAGAGGTGTGTTGGGGAGAGACCGGGAGAAGAAATCGAGCAGGAGTCAGAGAAAGATGAGACGGAGGAGACCGGAAATGAGGAAGGGATAGCACAGACAAATCGGGAGCACATAGGCCCATCGCGTAGTCATGGTGAAAAAAGAGGAAACGAGAGTGAGCATCACACTGGGAAAAACAAGAGGAAATATGATCTGGGTCTGGGCTTCACTTGGATTGGCAATGCAGATTGCCCAAAGCCACAGTGCGTGGTGTGCAGTGAGGTTCTGGCTAACAGCTGTCTGAAGCTCTCTTATTTACGTCACCACCTGAACACCAAGCATGCCAGTGCAAGTCAGAAGCCCCTTACATTTTTTATATCGAAATTGGAGGAGTTACAAAACAGCCAAAAACAACTGCAGTCTCATTCATGTGTTGGGGCTACAAAACATGCACTACGGGCTTCATATCTGGTCAGTTACAGAATAGCAAGAAAGGAGCTACCTCACACAATCGCCGGAGACATGTGCTCGCCATCCTAATTGCTCTTTAAAAGTGACGCCTTGTGTAACTGAAATGTATTGAAACTTTGTTGCAGTGTTTAGGGCGTTTTCACACCTGTAGTTCCTTTGCTTTGTTCCGATTCAGGGATTAATATGATACAATGTTGCAGTTGCCCCTTTGTTCGGTCTGTGTTCACACTGCAACATTTAACAGTGGACTAAATCTTGTAAAGAAACGCTATGCGCGAGCAAACTGTTCTCTCATTGGTCCGATTTTTATGCGGCTATAAATAGGCTCTGTTGCTTTTTTTTTAAGGTGTGGGGGATTGGGGGTGCGTGAACCCGTTCGGGATGTAGAAGGGGGTGCGTGGCCTAAAAAGTTTGGGAACCGCTGCCTTACAGCATCAAAATTACTCTTCATGACATATTATTTTTAGTTGTTGAATCTGGACAGATTCTATCCAATTAGGTTTCTTGTGTGAGCAGAATTTTTTTCATGTTGCTTTGAATTTGATATGAATTAGATATATGACTTGATTATTTTACCAAACACCTCGAATGCAGATTTGCAGATTGAACTGTGGATTGATTAATTTCATTAGGTGCATTAAAGTATCTAGTAGTATATTCTTGACTACCCAACTAATCATATGAACGTAACAACTGCCATCACACTCTCCTAGCATTAAAGGTGAAGTCCAAATCTAATGATATGCAGTTTAATATTGCATAAGACAAAGACAAGCAGCAAAGCCTGAATCTGGAACTAGGAAAAGTCATCATCTCATCGTGTGCAAGGGTTATTCTTAACCAAAACATAAATGAATCTTAACAAATTGATATATTTTAATTGCTCTATCGATTTTCTGCCACCAAGTACATATTAATTTGTAATATCATTAGGAATTAGTTTTATAGCTTAAAAGTATTGATAAATACTTTGGCCAGTATGATGGTGAAGCGGATATTAAGTAATTTCATGTGGTAGTAAAAATGTACCCTGGAGCTAATTGTTGTAATCTTAATTGTAGCCCTGCCTGTCTGTCTTTCCACTCACGCACTTTGACTCAGAGGCTGCTATATAAAGTACCAGGAAGGAGCACTTCATGAAGTGGAGGTCCTTAAGAGGGAATGGACCAACTCAGAACTAAACTTTGACAACATCCTCAATGGCATGCTGGCTCTTTTCACCATTTCTACCTTTGAAGGATGGCCAAAGTGAGTCATGATCTGTTCTGTGCAAATTGAAAGGTGTCTATTCATTTCAGGATTGATAGTTCAGAATCAGCAGCATCTACCCATTGTATATGTAGTTTAGTTTACGGTACATTTGCAATCCACTCTTCATTGATTTGGACAATTTTTTATTATCTTCCTAGGTTACTATATAAAGCCATTGATTCAAACTTAGAGGATAAAGGCCCAATGTACAACAACCGAGTGGCCATCTCAATCTTCTTTATCGTCTACCTCATCCTTATCGCCTTCTTCATGATGAATATATTTGTGGGCTTCGTCATCGTCACTTTCCAGGAGCAAGGAGAGCAGGAGTATAAGGACTGTGAACTGGACAAAAACCAGGTAGGCCTCTGATGAAAATGACTGGAAATAAAAATTAAACTGATGTTGTGTTTCGCATGCAACAAAAACCAGCCCCTCCTCCCACTGCCCCATAGCATAAAGTCTCAAAGCAGCCCACCAAAAAATGCTATAACTCCTTCCTGCATTGTTATTCATGCAGACACTGCTACATGCAGAACTACTTGTTGCAACTTATTTGGAAATTATATTTCTGGGGATTTCCTTGAGCTTTTCAGCCTTCCATTTTATATTTTATTTGCAATGGTCCAATTTGTAGAGAGCCTTGTGGGTATCAGGAAGAGAGAGAGAGAGGGAAAGTTTGCAACCACATTCATAAACTGTGGGAATTAATTAAGAGAACATGGTATGAAACAGTCTTGTCATGTTTAAACTAACAACAAACTAACAAATGCTTTTTTTCCAGTAGTGAACTTGTATTTCTGTTCTTATCTACTAGTAGTAGTTGCATTCCATACACTGAATGAACATGCACAGACATTTTCAGGGGCTGTTTCTCGAACTTGTAAAAACACTGACGCATCGAAGACGCAAAGTCACCTTTGGGGGTCAATTTGATGCATTCTGGCCATGATTTTTATCCCCAGCAAAGGCACCAATTTATGCATGAAAACGTAGGAAATAAAATTAACTCACTCACTGTTTTAACTATACTACATACTATATTTCTGTATGAAAATAAATTATCATCTGTATCAACTTTGAAAGCAATCAGTCAGTAATCGCTTTCATTTCACAATCTTGATTAATACTTTGGAAGTAATGTGTCAAAGACAAACACAGTCCTCCTACTGGGGACTGAGGAAGCATTTTGGAACCTGTCAACAATTTACTATTTTCTATTATTACATTTTTTTTCACTTTTCACACTTGTTTATTACACTGTAGTGTCGCAAAAGGCTACAGGTCACAACAGGCTGTAAAACTGAAAAGCAGGGTTGATGAGTTAGTCTCCGGTTAGTTTTTTCCTCGTCCGGTTGATCAGTTCCGATCCACAGACACAACAACAGTGGATCAATGCTGACACCGTCTTTGTCGGGGGTTTTGCAGCTCCGGCCGGAGGGTAGCTCAGTCAAAGAGGGCAAATGGGCCGTTGCCGGGCCACTTTAGCCGGGCCTTGTGCATGTCCTCGCTGAACGTGGTCATACTGTGTCCCCTCACCCAATATGTAGTCACACACTACTTAGCAATGCTTCACACAGATGTTAACCCTACTAGGGAGGCTCGCAGCAGAATTTGAGAGTGGACTTGCTCTTTCAGGGATGTGATTGTAATAACAATGTTCATGAGTTCTTTGCCAAAAGAGATGTTTGTCGAAAAAAAATCTAATATCATCTATATCAGCAGTATTGTTGTTAGTTTAAACTGTCTGACATTGCTATTGGCCTCTCCTTCATCCTAATGTAACATGTTTTAACTTCATTTAAGCTCTGCATCTCCCTCACCCTCTTCTTTTTAACCCCTCCAGCGCCAGTGTGTACAGTATGCTCTTAAAGCCCGACCTCTGCGATGTTATATTCCCAAGAACCTCTACCAGTATCAGGTGTGGTACATCGTCACCTCCTGCTACTTTGAGTACCTTATGTTCCTCCTTATTATGCTCAACACCATGTGTCTGGGAATGCAGGTATGAATACAACACATTTCACATACATATAACACACCTTTTGCCTATCTGTCTGTTTGTCTGTCTTATGGTGAGGATCAAAAATTGTGGTGTGGCAACATATTTATCATGTTTCTGATAGAGTCGAGTGAGAGAGTAGAGAGAAGTTAAGGTTTTATGCTCTCCTGTTTAGTAATAATATATAATTTCTCAGGATATAATCTGAGACCCGGGCCTGTTTTAAGCCCAGATATGTAGACCTCTTATGTCATTAGCATCTTTAAAATCGTTCTGCTATGATGATTTCAATGTGTAGACAACGGAACTGTCCCCTTCAAAATAAATGTGTGGAATGATCAGGAATGGTGTGCGATGACTTTTCTGCAAGATTCGCCTCACAGTTTGGTGAAAATGGCAAAAAACTGTATGGAATGTCTCCATAGAAAAGAATAATAAATCAAACAGTGCTCAAACCCACCAAACATGGCCAGGATTTCACAGTGAGTGTGCATTTGACGGAATGTTCAGCAAGCTTGAAAACGAATATCAAATGACTATTCAAGTACACTGGCATGTGGGTGCCGGTGTAAAAAGGAAGTAGATTGATTGCTTAGTTACAAAAAATACAAGAGTATTATAGTAGTCTTTAATAATGAAAGGTCGTGCTTGATACTTAAGATCTTCCTCTAAAATTTTTGTAACACACAAATTTCCTAGAAAGTCCTCCTCAAAGCCGCAAACTGACTTCAAACGTTCGTAGGGCTAATACACTGGTATGCTGGACACGCCGCTTGCTAATGGCTCCAATAACAGCTGCTTCCTCCGCATGTCGGCAGAAGTAGAATCATAAAATGCAGAATTTAACTGCACAACAGCTGCTAGTACAGACAAAAAGGTCAGAAACACCTGAAATCAGTTATCGATGTTAAATTAACCACTGGTAGTCGATCAATAATCAAGGATGTTGTTGTGATAGGGGCGTGACGAATCAGGGAAGGACACGTCGTGACTGCTAAGAGCCAATCAAGCAAATGCTGGTGTTTACGTCATCGTTTTAAAACTTATGCGTTTACGCCCGTCCACACGAGGAAGTATGGCCAGGAACTCTGTCGCATTCTTGAGATTTTGGGTGGTGAATTTAATGTTAAATTTTACCAGCATTAAAACTACATGTAGCATTTAAGTGCTAGGTAACATGTTAGAGACATATACTGTATATCTAACCTCTGTGGGTAACTAGTATCATTATTACACAAGAATTTACCATGACTAGCTGAAAATCCACTAAACCAGACTGAAAATAAAGAAAATCTAAAACGATTGAATCACAGTCTATGGACGGAGCTGGATAGTTTTCGGAACCTGGTCAGAGCTGGCCAATACTACGATTGGCAAGTCTCTGTTTGAGGGGCTGGACTGAGCGAAGGGTGAATAAGACCTAACTAACAGATCATGCTAGAGTTCAATTATGTCTATCTATGACTTTACACTCTGCTACTAATGGCAGAGTATAAAGTCACAATGTACAATGTGTGTCTGTCTGTTAGTGTGAATGACAGAGGTTGGGGAGGGGTGGAGTAAAGAATTCTGTTACCTTCGAATCACAGCTACAGACTCAACAATAGAGGCTGCCATTCATTGTGAACCTCTAAGTAGCAGTCTGGGACCTCTCCACACAACTTCTAGCTTCAACAAAGCTGTGTAAAAGCACTTTAAACAAATGTTGGAAAAGCCAAACGACGTGCTAAACAGCATCCCCAATCAACACAGGCTTGACTGGGGATGCTATCAGGACTTGAGATGAGAATTAAAATGATTTGGTCAAGCTCCAGGCTGGTGAGAGGCAACAAAGCCCAAGCTACTTGAAGTCCAAACATGTGAACAGGGTGTAATAGACTTTCGGAAAAAGCTATCATACAAGTAGAATAACTCTGTCTGACTTTATACTTATGCAGTTGTCGATGTGTTTCTTTTTAACCCACAGCACTGTAACCAGTCAGACCACGTAACTCACCTGTCCGACATGCTGAACGTGATTTTCACTGTGCTCTTCACTGTAGAGATGGTTCTTAAACTTATGGCTTTCAAAGCCAAGGTGAGTCAAAATTCAACTTATTACATTTTCCAGAAAAAAAATGGTAAGGGCTGACTGTGAGTCTGTGGTAGTGCATTTACCAAAACAGATCAACTATGGTCAGAAGAATCCTGCTGTTCAATTTTTATTATTAGGGCCCGAGCCACCGACAACGTCGGGCCAGCGAAGGCCCTATTGAAACTGTAGGGGTTATTAGGGCCCGAGCAACCGACAACGTCGGGCCAGCGAAGGCCCTATTGAAACTGTAGGGGTTATTAGGGCCCGAGCAACCGACAACGTCGGGCCTGCGAAGGCCCTATTGAAACTGTAGGGGTTTTTATTCTTTATGATTCTTATTTGAGAACTTTGGGACCATCTGGGAGGTACTTGCCATACTCCAAAACTCACCAGATTTTGGGGACTTGTCAGGGCTGGTGAAAATAGACGTATGAAAAAGGATGCAACTTTCTGTGTAATAAAATGGCTCTCTAGCGCCCCCTACAAATCGGACCGGCGACGCCCCTCGGCCAGTATGTCTGAATTCCTTGAAATTCGACACACATGTCCGACTCCGCTAGATCTAAAAAAAAGCCTCTCAGACCCCTAAGCTCCGCCTACTTAGATTTTCCGCCATATTGAATTTAGTGAAAAACCCATTCTTTCAAACTCCTCCTACATGCTAGGTCCGATTGCTACCAAATCTGCGGTGGATCATTATTGGATGTAGATCATCAAGAGTTATCAAAAGCTTTTTGATGCCTCTTAGCGTTTACAATATATGGCCCAATAAACTTGTTAGGGGTGTGGCTTAATATCACTACACATAACTTCTCAACCATTTGTCCTAAAATTACAACATTTGCAGCATATGTGCACATCGCATGCTGTAACATACCCTGTGATTTGTTTTGCATTCAACCACTAGGAGGCGCTACAGTAAACTCGCAAAGTTGTGCTTTTTGTCACTTTTTGCAGATTTCAGCCTTCGCACTTTAACGAACTCCTCCTACAGATTTTAAGCGATCAACTTCTCCTTTGGTCAGGATGCTCTTAAGACCTTTGTGATTAGAAGTTATCAAAATCGAGAGTTTTCATCTTAGAACCTTGACGTGGCGTGGTGGCCATTTTGCCTCATTGTTTATGAAAAAAGAAGTTGTTATAACTCCATGGAACATTTTCCAATCCGCACAAAACTTATTATGCATGATGCTACTTCAAGCCTGAACATACTTCAATTGAAAATAATTCTATAACTCATAGCGCCGCCTACTGGCTAAAGGAAATGTCATATTTTATGCTTTTATGTATTTCTCCTAGCCAGGTGACCTGATGAGTCTCAAATTTGGTAAAGATAGCGTTAAGACATTGATGATAAATCGCCGAGAATATTGTGCATTTTTGTTGAACACTGTTGCCGTGGCGACACATCGTTTGCCATGAAAAAGGAAGCTGATGGTTTAGTGACTTGGGATACTCAAAAACTCATGGAACTTTGGACATGTGTCATAGGTCATAGGACAACATAGTGCATATGGTTTTTTGGCTTGGCTGTTTTAAATTGCCTCTATAGCGCCCCCTACAATATTTCAAAAGAGCAGCCCCGGCACTACGTTTTAGCTACATGTATGAACGTTGGTAGGCAGATGTATCCTATGCAGCCTTACAAATAAGTCTCTTGGGACCATGCTCTAAACCCTACCGGAAGTCGGCCATTTTGATTTATGTGTCATTTTTCCATAGATTTTGGCCTATTTCTAGTCGCTATACTTTAACGGACTCCTCCCAGGGAATTTGTCTGATCCTATTAAAATTTGGTCAGTACCATGTCAAGACCGTTGTGATTAAAAGTTATCAAAAGCTTTACGTTTGACGGAATGCTTTAGCCATAGCGGGCGGCTACTTTAAGTGATTCCCCATGAAAAAAGCTGATGTAACTCAGCTGGACTTGTTCCCAACAGTCTCAAACTTCACATGCTTGATAACACTCATGGCCTGAGGATGTCTACAAGCTAATTTCCCCTAATACTCTAAGCGCCACCTGCTGGCGAAAGGAAATCTGCATTTTGTGACAAACACCATCCGATTTACACAGAGATTTCACCTCTGTGTCTCTAGGTAAGAAGAGAGGCCCGAGGCCTGCAGACTCACAAGTGCATCCATGTGCAGTTTAAGTGAATGGGGACGATATTGTTGATTGTCATAGTGTTCAACCAATCACATCTTTAGTTTGACATTTTGGGCGTATTCTTTGACGTGTCAGAGCCTGCAAGCTGGCCTACAAGTACGTGATTGGTCAGTGGGCTAGCGTGACATGTTGGGCGGTGACAATCCCAATATCTGCTGCCTCTGTCGAGCGGACATTTTCAGCCTCAAACGCATTAAAACGTATTCAAGAAATACAACTGGGGAGGCTCGACTGTCTTCATTGGCGTCCATGAATGGAGAAGGACTTCTTACTGGAACTAAAACGCACGGATGTACTGAACAACCGTGAGATTAAACTCTTTATTAACAAAGACAGGAGGATGCACTTTGTCTTTAAATAGTGAAAGTCGCTCTCTGGCGACTTTCTGTACTCTCTTGGCGACTTTTTTTGTCAAAAGCTACTAGCGACAAATCCAGCGACTTGTTCTGGTGTTGGAGACTTTTCTGGTGTTTTGACTCTGACGTTAAAGCACGTACGTTCTGCACTGTGGTGAACGAGCAGCGGGTCCTATGTATCTTTTTCTTGCTAACTGGCAACCAAAAGCATAAAATGTATGTTTAGGCTGGCTAGTAGTTAAATACAGTAGACCTTAATTAATCTTTTTACCTGTGCTACCTCTGCTACCTTTCGGCTCAGCTCCGTGTTCACCACAATGGTCCAGTACAGCATCCGCATCACTGCTAACACCGCATTAAGCCGCCCGTTCATCTCACCCTACATTTTGCCCTCACTCCTGAACAAGATAAAATACTTGAACTCCCTTGCTTGGGTCAGTGAATCAATCCAAACCTGAAAGGCTTTCCAGTAGAGAACCATGGACTTGGCTGCAAACCGCCCCAGTGCATGCTGAAGGTCACAGCCTGATAGAGACCACACCATCATGCATGAAGGCAAAGACCCAATGGAAACAAGTCTGCAGACACAGTTCTCACTCTAAAAAGGACTGGATGACTTGTACCAACAAACCCTGTACCCAGGGACGTGCGGTCGCCTCACCTGTCATCATGAAAAGGAAAAAACAAATAGTGATATAATAAAATAAAAATGAATATTTCTCTACTGATCTGAGCTATAAATGTAATTTCTGTATGATTCCAATCATTTCAATCATTTTTATAATCAAATCGCTGAATTTGCACGTCCTGTTCAAACAGAGAGGAGACACGCAAGGTGAGGCAGCGACGAGCTGTGCCTCATCTCAGATGGTGCAATCCCTCACAAACTGGGTTGAGCGCATGCCTTTCACTTTCTCATTGTTTGTCACCACTGTAATATTTGTTGACACTTTTACTATATGTCCTTTCTTTCCATAGAATAGGTCATGTATTTCACGTATGTGTAAGGCAAGGCAAGTTTATTTGTATAGCACATTTCAACAACAAGGTAATTCAAAGTGCTTCACATAAAACCATTAAAAGCATCAAAACATAAGGCAAAAGAAAAGGAGATTTAAAAACAATTAAGAAACAATAAAAACAGTCATTAAAACACTAAAAAACAGTGTAAGAAATAAAATAGAGTAGTAAAATGCAGAAATGCAGGAAATTGATTAATATATTAATTGAATCTGGTTCAATTAAAGGCAGCAAACAGAAAAGTCTTCCATCTTGATTTAAAGGAGCTGAGGGTCTCAGCAGACCTGTAGCTTTCTGGGACTTTGTTCCAGATATGTGGAGCAGAACAACTGAACGCTGCTTCTCCATGTTTAGTTCTGACTCTGGGAACAGAAAGTAGACCGGTCCCAGACGACCTAAGGGGTCGGGATGGTTCATAAGGTAGCAGCAGATCAGAGATGCATTTTGGCCCTAAACCATTCAGTGCTTTATAAACCAGCAGCAGGATTTTAAAGTCAATTCTTTGTTTGACAGGAAGCCAGCGCAAAGAACTCAGAACTGGAGTGATGTGATCCACCCTCCTGGTCGTAGTGAGGACTCGATCTGCAGCGTTTTGAATCAGCTGCAGCTTTCTGACTGACTTTTTACAGAGACCTGTAAACACACCGTTAC